TTCTAATCAGACAGAAAAGATCTGTTACAAATCTCAGGTAATACAATCATACTGCTATAATAATAAGGACTTAACTAGACCACACATACTCCAAAGCACCTTGGTTTCAAATGTCCTAGGCACATTATTTTAAATCATTGCTGTTAATGGCAGCCTTGAACTAGGAATCTTTGAGCCTTTGAATTAGGAATTTAGCATTGAATTATGATCAAACATTTCACTTAAAACAAGTCCTTCACTTAATACTTTAAACAATGAATGAAGTCAGAAATCTACACAGCAAAGTCAGCACCGTTGAAGTATTTCTTTAGATGTAACTGCATTCATCCAATATCAGATTAATATGTTTTTATATGTGTAATAAGATAAACAATTTAAATTCAGATCATTTAAAATAAAACACATGTTGAAAATACAAGAAAGGATGATGTTTTAAAAGAAAGGTGTCTGTTTTTTTGTATTTCTCATCACGCTGAGGAATATTCTTCTGAGCATTACAGGCATGATAAAATATTGTATAAAAAGTCCATATGGGACTGAAAATCTGTAAATCAGAAAAAAAATAATCTACCACCTTCTTTTGCAAATGCTACTGCAGAGGAGCAGAGAAATGTCATTTTAAACAAACTGTAACAGGATGCAGTCCTATAAAATGGCATAGGTATTGTAATATATCCCAGATGTAGGGAACTAACACATCCAGTATGGTCCCACATGTGAATGTGCATGTGGTAAAGTTGACTTTGGAGAACAAGGGGCCACATGGAGTGTAAATTCAGAAGATGAAAGAGGTGTATGACAACCAGAGGGGCATTACATTTCCTGGTGAGAACGAAAACGTTTTCTTCATAGTAATGGAGTGCCTTTTAGCTGTGGAAAGCAGTGAAGTTCTCGCCCAAGTCTAAAGTTCTGAGCAAAGGAACAGATCAAAACAAGAGGGGGCAGATCACATTCTCAATTATTACAGTTATATCCACCTCATAGAGCAAGTATTGCATTGCACTGATGCATCATTGAATCATCAATGAGTCTGAGTATGAGCTTGGGCAATGGCCTTCTGCAGAGCTCCACTGTAAGCTTTTCTTGGTTTGCTGTGCGTTTCCTCCAGAAAGCTTGATAATCAGCATGTCTCAGAAATACTCATTGTGCTTTAAATCTTCACTCATCAGAGAAAAACACATCAACAGGAAACTGTCCCCTTTTCTTCTCTGCGACATTTGTGGTGCCCTGCCAAATATACTGGTGGAAGAAAGGTGTCATATTTGTAAACCCCTTCTCTTAAGGACTCTCCAGCCCTTCCTTGTTTTCTACTAATCCACCGGACCTGCTCCCTGTTCCAACCCCCTTTCAGTTCTCCTTAAAAGCCAGGCGCTCACTTTATTCGGGGCTCTGCTCTGGTTTCTGCACCAGGTGAGTCCGGGACCTGGAAGCGCCTGGTCCCGTTAAGGTTTTATTTTCTCTTCCTGTTCCCCACCGGTTCCGATCCGGTTCCCGTTTGCTTGGATTCCCCGTTTGGATTTTCTCCTGGATTGTTTGCCTCGGCCACACCTCCCCCGAACACCAGCGCACCAAGGACACGCCCCCTGTTTTCATCCCCGTATCCTGCATGGCTTTTTTTCCCTGTGTTTCTTCACTTTTCCCTGGATCGTGTTGTCCGCATAGGGTCCAGAAAGAACTGTTTGTTACAGAAGGAAGAATCTAAGGAAGACACAAGTCCTGACACAAGACACAACTGAAATCCCACGCAAAGTGACCACTGGTTGTAAGTGGTGCACTGATAACAAAGTGAATTGAAGATCAATGCCTGTTTTCTGGAGGCATTGTAATGCTGCAGGAAGTTAAAATGGCAATGCTTGGAACCCAGCTTTCCCATGTGGATAGAAGCTTGACAGTTGTTCGCCTTATACTGTACCTAGCTCAGAGTTATCCTCTTTGTTTTATCTGTAGAACAAAAAGCAAGAATGTGGCCTACACAAATCACAATAGAAACAGTTTTTGAGAAACTGTACATCCAAGATCAAAAGAACAAAGTACATGCTATATATCTGCATATGAATAATGTTTCTACAGTATGCTGCTCTCTGCACACTTACTGTAAGTAACTTAATTTTAGTGGTGGGTGAAAAGCTACAGCTTAGGAGGGCCCTGGAGGACATGCCCCTGCCTGAACACTGGAGTGTCTTGAAATATCCATTAACAGTGGGTGCACTGTACTGATTCTCAGGTGAGCTCTTCCGTGCATCCACGCATGTCTGACTGCAACTTGCCCTGATGGCAGCTGAAGCTGTGAACGGTCCTGTCACAGTTATTTTTATATGCTTTTAAATGTGGTATTTAACAAATGTTCAGGAGGACAGTCCTAATCTCAGCCATTTGTCTAACACATCTTCCCAGTGTCTGACACACGCTGCCTTCCCTTCTCCAACGCCAACCTGCCACTACCTAAGTCAGGAGGGTTAAACCAATAAAAACAATCTAATTAAATGTATTCTGTCGTTCTGTCTTGATTAGGGTTGTCTGAGCTACTGAAATGGGTATTGACTGGTCTTACTTTTTAACAGGCTTGTGCCCTGAACCAGCTGGGCTGTGGGACTATAAAACAAACAGGCAAGTCCTGTTATTGAAGATATCTTGCTTATTTTCAAGAAACTGCTGGATGAATGGATCAGTCAGCTACTAGCTACAAATGGTCTAGATAGGCCGAATGGCTATATTGAATGGGTTTATTTTTTTACATAAACATCTCAAATTCATCTTTCCACTTGCATTCAAAATTATGGGCACAATCTTACAGCACCTAAAAAGAATTACCACTGTCTTCTTCAAAGTCATGCAAAAGCTTGTGAACAAAGGGGTTCAATTTAAAAAAATGATAAGGACTCTAAATGCAAACCCAAACTATGCTAAACTCAGAAAAAGGGTGAAACCATCGAGCTGACCTTGCCAGGCTTTTGATCCTCACCACACTCAAGCATTTTGGAAAGAGCTTGACAGGGAGGGTTTGAAAACTAAAGGGTAACCAGCTTAAAATGCTCTGTCACATAGGGTGGTTAGTCAGCAATTCACTTCTGAAGTGGTATCACAGATTATCCAAAGCATGTACAGCTGTTAGTGATAAAAATGAGGTGAAACATTTACAATTGCATACCCTAAATATACAGTACTGTATGTGCCCTGTTACAATTTCTTTTGAAAAAGTACATTTTCATATGAACTATTATGAATATTTCATCATTTTATTTGAATTAGCTAGTTCTCCACTGTAACATAACAGTGGCTGCCAACGGGAATCCTATGTGACTCCTGTGTCTGGGTCCTTAGTCCAGCTGAGAGTGATATCTCCAGTGCTCATGCCCTTAATTGATTGAGTTTTTAGTCTTTGGTTAACTTGTTTTAGGACTCAGTCACAGTGTTTCAAAAAGACTCTACTTCAAGGGTACTATTTCCAACAACTTCTGCATAACCAACTTTAAGCAGCCTCTTCTCAACATGCTCATCCTTATTTTTGACAAAACAGCTCTTAATAGTTGATCAAATACAATAAGAACAGACACAGGTTGTAATGGCAGTGTATCAGACACTCCCATAGAGAGCTCTTTTCCTCTTTAGATGTGTTGCTGATTACAATTCAGACAACACATCTGACTGACAGGCAGTCTTGAAATTCAGAAACTGATACAGGGGTGAAGCCAGTTACAAATCTAAGTAGATCTTTTAAGAGCTGAATGCAAATATTATTCATATATTATTACCAATATTTTTCAAAATTGCAAACCACTTAAAAATAGGAATGGGAATGTTTCTGCCTTAAATACATTCATGAATCACCACTGTGATTATCAACAATTCTGCTTTATTACTAGTCTATAAATTTGTCTTCATTTCCAGGTGAGCATTTTTCCATATTCAGAACCTGTCTTGATTGCTAGGACTGATATAATGGAAAACTCTTTGGCACTAAATTATCTCATATTAAAAAAAAATGTAACATAAATAATAATTATTGTGTAAATTAAATAACTTCAAAATGTTGACCTGTAGTGAAAGTTACAGTAGCATTTTGTTGCATTTTGCTGTTGATACTGAAAATGAAGTGGTACTGACATGCAGTTAAATCTTCCAGAAACTCACAGACGTCTTGCATTTTGCTGAAATAAATTTACATTGCCTGTCTTCCATGCAGCAAAATTTTCAAGCCATGCAATAAAGGTGCTGAGATACCCAGTTTTCAATCAATTGTACCACAGCACGAAGAAAGATGAAATCCACACACTCATCAGGCCTGAGATTAGCCTAGTTTCCTGCACTGGACTCCACTTTGTAACACCCCCTCATGACAGGACGCAAGTACATCACAGAGTTACTGATGTTTTCACAGCTGGGTGGACTGGAGCAACTGGGAAAAAGTATCTTGCACAGGAGAACAACAATAATACCTGCAGTAGAGAGTCCAGCCATTAAACTTTGCTGCCTCTTTTCATCGGTAAAACCACCTCTTTTTTCACGTAATTGAGTGAAGAATTTGCTGTACCAAGATTGGATAGACATTCGTTGGAAGGTCTGGTATTTGAATAATCTGCGTATACTACTGTCCTTAATTTTAAATATATAATATATAAACACACACAGTATCATGACCACTGCTTTTCAAGGCAAAACTACCCACACAAAACGGCTTACTTGGGACACATTTTAGTTTGCATGAGCAGGTGCCAGAAATACTGTATCATAAACATACGGTAGTATCACACTACGTTTTATCTAGAAATTATAGAACCCTCCTCAACAAGAGACAATACATATTAACTGTACTAAAACAGTGTACCATAAATAAAGAGCTTTCAGGGTTTCACAGATCTCCAAGTATGGCAGGGAAGAACTTTGAAGAAAATCCAACTTGTGCAACTACATACAAATGTCTTAATGAACAGCTTTGTTTGACACATTGTGTAACAACATATAATACAATTTTATATTTTATTTTAAAGATACTTCACAAGATACAAAAATATTGATCACAGTGTATTTTCTTTTAAAGGATTGAAATTACTATGCACAAGAATGTTGAAAAATATTTAGACAATAAATTATATAATCATTATCTGAAAAAAAAAGGCTCACTCCATTAGTCCACTTTTAGAGAGCCATTTTAAGTTCTTTGTAAGACTTTCATATCAACACTATTGTTTACAATTGTTTCCCATTTTTTTCACTCAAGGAAAAGCACAAACGCGTCTCTCTCCATTGGGCCAACTGTGGCCCTATAGCGGAATTCCAAACAGTGCACATTTTTTGTCTGTCAATTTCATAGTCAGTTTCAGACCAAAATGTCTCCAAGTGTTCGCACGTGTTCAATCCAGTCTCCTCCAGTAGGTCGGTATGCAGCGGCAAACTTCCTCACTAAAATAAAACCCTGGTTCGCACCGTCTTCGCCGAACTTCACACGGTGGCCGGTAGCAACTGTTAAAGAGAGGAAAAGCAACGGTTGTAAATATAGCACTGAATGTACATGTATATAATCTTCTACACACACTCACATATAAACTACAGAAGTCAATGTACAGCAGAATGGCAAATGCCTCTACTTCTGTATGCAATTCTTTTTTTGACATTTGAACACAAGCAACATAAACGTTCACGTTGACCCAAACACATATAAAGACTTATCATTATATCGGTTTCACTGTGTTAATGATGGCTTTAAATTATTTTTTGAAACAAAAACAACAAGTGCTAAAAAATTCTAACCCTTATATTTTTATCAGGACTTGAGTGCAAAAGTATTGTGATTCCCAGAGACCATCCCATCTGCAGAATGATGTTATACTGTACAGTATATGTAGCTGTGCACATGACACAAGAAAAATACAGAACTAGAAATAATGAATAATTTGCTCAATAAAACATATTATATTATTTATTTAGTTTTATACTTTAAAATTGACGGAATGTTATAATCATTAACATTATAACTGGAAGACTGTTATAATGATTATCTCACTTTAGCGATGCATTATAGTGTCACACAACCCTTAACCAGACTTGGGTATCAACAACAACTCCCCTACTTAAAATGTGCTCTGAGGTATAGAAGAAAGGCCATGAGTTATTAACTTGGCTGAGTCACTCTTCAGGCAATCCCGGCCTCAAGGTGAATGAGGTTTTTGGACATGATAAGTACTGTATGCACACCTCATGCACAAACCGAACAGCCAGCACACCAGGAGACCTAACATCACACACTGTTTTCTGAGATCTTCACCACCTATTCACACATCAATCCATTTTCTAACCCCTTCTTCCCATTCAGGGTCGCAGGGCAGCTGGAATCTATTCTCTCAAGCAACGGGCGTAAGGCAGGGTACACCCTGGATAGGATGCCAGTCCATCGTAGGGCACACCGACGTAGACACGCACAGGCTCAAACTTAGGGCCAATTTTCCCAGAAGCCAATTAACCAACCTGCATGTTTTTGGGCTGTGGTAGGAAACTGGAGGCAAAATACACGAATATACGGAGACTGTGCAAACTACACACAGATAGCATCCCTGGAACTGAACCTATGGCCCCCGGCACTGCAAGGCAGCAATGCTAACAACTGCACCACCACCCATTCAGGCATGATGACAAGAACACGGAACAGCAGTTCTTTTATAAGCTTAAAGTAAAATTTGTAGTTTGGGAATTGAAAGTATTAAGCTGCCTCCATTTATAAATAAAAACAATTCTTAAACATTCTTTTTAGAGGTAATGTTTGATTACCTCCACAGGGAAATTGCTTGGGCCACCTGTTCCTTGTTAGATTGTTAAAACAGGAATAAGTGCCTGCAGGGGATATATGCCACAAAGATATTTTAGTGATGTTAATATTGTGACAGGATGACATAAGTAAAAGCAATAACGGGCATAATCACTTATAAAGCTGTTTCTGGAGCTATCACAGAACGATTATCGTATGTTGTGAATACTTTTGAATTGTAAAAGGCAGTTTCTGTTATATAAACCTTAGTTTTGACCACTAAATGAAGAGCTCAATTAGAGGAAAGCGAGGGTATTTAGATTCATCTATATAAACGAATAAACCGTATTGCTAATAATTGTATTGTATTCTAATTTTAAATATAGATGAATACTTCAGCATTAATAATTGTGGTTGTTATGTGACCCCAAAACTACAGTGTTACCCACAAGGTAATTAACAGTAAAGTATCCCCTAATAAAGCATTTTTTTAGAAGAACAATATGATGTTCTTAAAATAATCATTTTAAAGCAAATGGTGCTGTTCTTCAAAACTGGTGTTCGACCATCAAACGTGCTCATCCTGTTCGCTGACAACAGTGAACAACAACAAGACTGTGTCCTCTCATTTTCAGAAAGTCGCTTATTCTAGTGTCATGACGGACTGGAAGCTACTGCATCCTAATTCTATGTCACTGGAAGGAGCAAACCAGAGTCCCCAGAGGAAACTCATACAAAGGGAGAACATGCAAACATAGACAGGCAGAAACCAATCTTTGGATGCTGGAGCACTGAAGTAACACAATACTAACTGCTACAATACTGTTTCCGCCACCAAAAGTATGTCAGGAATGAAGAAAATTTCAACCTTTGTTGATGTCAACCAGATGACATCCTTGCAACACTTCATTTTATAACTTGGTAATTTCCTGCAAAGTAACTGGTTCAGATAGAAAACTAATGGCATACAAAATGCTTTTTCAACCTTTTTAAAAAGGTGGGCTTTTGTGTAAAACAGAAGTAAGAGGTGCACATCTACTGTAGGCTGCTACTGTATTCACATCTGGCTCCTGGGAAGATAAACTCTGGTGAGTGTCCACCTCAATTCTGTAGTTAATTTCATTGCTCACTGAAAATCTTCCCATCCTCCTCTTTGAAGCCCAAGCAGAGTTTGGAGATGGTGTCTACTGGCTGGGCTTTCAAATCCTGACAAGGCACAAATGATTAAAACTTCTGTATCCTTAACTTTGTATCTATAATGTCTATGTGTATAGTCTATTTAAAAGCAAAGAGTTCAACCTATCCATTGTAAAAATATAGATTTAACTGAATTCAAATCCTCAATTTCAATAAAAAAATAATCCACTAATCTTAGATTCTTAGGTGCATTTTAAGAGTAAGGACTGAAATACAAACATTTCTTGTTAAGCTCTTTTTGCCAAAACAGTACAGCATTTTCTTTTAATGTGTGTCTTTGTTTATTAAAGATATTGTACATTTAAAGTATAGTGTAACCATTCTGATGAAGGGTAACAGGAAACAAGATGTTATGGCTGGAAATACAGGTTTTGAGAAGGCACTGTTTTTAAATGTTTCAAAACCGCAGTATTTTAAAGATTAGTGGAACCACTTATGTACAAACCAAAGTCATAAAATTCATGCCAGAAAACATTAAATCTTCTATGTGTATTATTGCTATATTTGTAGGGTTGTAAACTTTAAAATACAGTGAATGGTGGGATAGCACTGTAGTAAGTTCTACTTCACATTGTGCGTTAACCAAAAAAAATAATTTTGAGTAAATTAGACTACACTAAACAAAACATCCCACTTAAGAGTAGCTTAAACCATGGTAAATGTGTGACAACAGATCCATGAATTCACACAAGCATACTGTTTTACGTCAGGTAATAAAACTTATATATTTATAATATGTTCTGGAAATAAAGATAAAAAACAAAACTTCATGTGTTAATGCACTAATGCAAAAGAACAGTTGTATTATTTTGCTTGAATTTGCTTTGTTGAGTGATTAAAATCTCTAAATGACACTCCCTTGTATTTGCATAGATGCAGGTTATGATGTCAGTAGAATAGACATGAAGTGATTTTCTTTCTTATTTCTTGGGATGCATATTGAAACTACTGATGCAGATTGGCATCAACTTCCACAACCTGTCCAAATAAGTGTCCTAACTTACATATATGTCATGAGTGCTTTGCTAAGGAACTCTAAAATCATAATTACTGAAAATTACCACAGCTTTATTAATTCCACTGAAACACAAAAATACATATACTGTAGGAGACAAACACTGCTGTGCAAAAGTCTTAAATATCTTAGACACAAGCAGCAGTTTACTCAAAGCCTCAAATATGCTTTTCTACTGTTATAATTATTTTGGCTATTATTAATTTGCAATTAAGTCTGGGTAACAAGAAATCAAGTGGGTCATTTTGTAGTCCTTTAATTCATATTAATCAGAATCCTAAAATGCATGATTACGTCAATTCAAGGTAAACTATACAGGAGCAGTTAATACGAACTCTTCCATTTGCAAATCAAATCTCCTACTCAGGTGTTCCTTGTCATTAAAATTATTTAAAAGCATTCCCTCTGTATAAATCTATGGAAAAAGGCTACTGTTTCTACTACTAAATAAGGATTGATCAGGATTAACTTAAAAAATGGCTAAAATTTCAGATGAAGTCAGTCATTGAACTGTGCTTCTGCATAAAGAAGATCTGAGTGAAAAGAACAAAACAATGGATGATGTCTCAGACTTTTGCACAACAACCAGAAATAAGTCAGAAATTATTCAGAAAATAATAAATCAGAAATATGTCAGAAATAAGAGTGTCCTCTATTTACTACCCAGAACTTCAGTACAACAAAATCAAGGTAACCAGATCTTCTAATGCCAGTTTTGGCATTCTAAACATTCTAAAATATTTAATACTAATCATTATTAGTAACCAATTTTTTTAAAGTGTAAACTGTTATACAGTATGCCACTTGCAAAGACAAACACGAAGTTTCATGAAAAGCTTTCAGACACTTGTTACTGAACATTATGCCCTTTTTTACACTCTGTCAAAAATGACATGGCTGTTAACTCTCTGATATCTTTGCCCCTTGACCCCATTTTCAAATCTTGCTTCTGTTATTTTTCGTTTTCACCCACTACGAGAATGAAATGGACGATTAACTCTCAACGTGCACAGAAAATGTGCTTCAGCCCTTATCCATTTCGAATTTTAATCCTTGATGACAGGGTAGCATACAGTAGCACATAGTCCAGTTTCCTTTCTGGAATTTCTACACATGGCAATAAATCCAAGCTGTCATCCTTGAAAGGGTGGATTTCATCGCCGAATGAAATCTTCCTTCCCCTATGGAAACTTCACCGACAAAACTGTACTTCTGGAACTGTGAACGAATTCTTCCGTTTCACTGCTGTTCGTGACCCTCCTGAGGGGGTATTACTGTGTGCAGTAAGGCGGTCGCATTCAATTCATATTTAAGTTTTTAGTTTTAGGCTTGCTTACTTTCAAAAGTTCTGTTTGTGCTGCATGCATATTAAAGCTCTCATCATCCAAAGTTTATTATTTTGCTTTAGCCAACTATGGCTAAAGCATAGATGCTTTAGCAAACAGTTTTTGTTTTATTTTCCAAAGGTTTTGAACTTTTGTATTTAAATGTATAACTGTCCAGTGTGTAAATATAGCTGTCATATGTGTAATTTTTTCACAATTAAATGGCTAAAATAATGAAACTGTTTTTATAGGTGTCTTAACTGATTTGTATCGAATAACATTACTATGCAAAGATCTAACAACTTGAAATGACAGCACAAGAATTCCTAAATATTAATTGAAGTTTATAATATATTTTGGCGTGTCTGCATGATACTGTACATTTCTAAACTCAAACAATAATAATGCTCATTTTTTTTGTTTAAAACAAAAATAATGTTCACCCATTTTACATGTTATAAATTATCCATTGGTACAGTATGTTATCCTTTAAGTTGCTTCTTTATAAACTGTATTCATTCCTCCATTTTCTAGATATGCGCATCTAATATTCATTAGGATGTAAAAAAACTAGAATCAAGTTGCTTAGACTTAAATTAAGCATAGTTTAAAATCGTTATTTATTTTACTAATATGCTATCATTATGTTTCTAATGGTATGGGCTGAGTACCTTTTTTTCTTTTCCCAAAACATTAAATGAACTCTAAGGAACTCTAAAATCATAATTACTGAAAATTACCAGAGCTTTATTAATTCCACCAAAACACAAAAATACATATAGGTGACAAACACAGCTGTGCAAAAGTCTAAAATATCTTACACACAAACAATCTAATTGTATCAACAATTAAGCTCCTGAAAACAAACATTGTCAGTGTCACTGTGGTAATGGTTAGAGCTGAAAGGAGGCTAAGAGACATGTATTTCAATTAAACAGAATGAAGAAAAAGAATGAAGTGACATCTGAGCCAGGGAGCGGCTGGAAGGGTGGAGATGGGGTGGATGGAGGGGTGAGAGAAAGACCTGCAAAGCGGGCCCACAGCAGCCGAGAGACCTATGTGTAGGGGAATAGAAGTGAGTGAGAGATGGGAAATTCGACCTCCTCCCAAGCTTCTGTTTAAAAACACCATCGACCTGTCACGACTATAGTCCCCCTTCCTTAAGGGTGCTCCAGCCCTTTCACTAAAGACTTCATTCTCTGCACCTGTTTCCCATTCCCTGCCCACCTTAAAAGCCAGGCGCTGACGCTCTTCCGGGCTCTGCATCTGATTTCCATATCGTGCGAGTCCGGGACCAGGAAGCGCCTGGTCCCGTTAAGGTTTTAACCTCCGTTCCCGTTCCTGTTCCCCGTCCGCCGGTTCCGACCCGGCCTTCGTGGTTTTAATTCCGAGTTCTGATGGATCTCCTGGTTTTGGACTTACCTTCGTGTTTTGGATACTCTATGGATTACTCTTTGGGATTGTTCGCCTCGGCCACACCTCCCCCGTGCACCAGCGCACCTTGGACACGCCCCCTTGTCTTCAGCCCCGTTTTCCTGCATGACATTTCCCTAGTGTTTCCCCACTCCGTCGGACTGTGTCGTCCGCATAGGGTCCGGAAAGAACTGTTCGTTACACGACCGCAGCATAGTGTAGCGCATTCGCCGGGCGCAGCGGCCGAAGAGCGCCTGGCTGAGGGGCAGGATGGGAGTAGTAGTGGTCAGGGCGGGGACAAGGAAGGCCGCTGACCAGTGCAGCTGACCCGTTGCAAAACGGGTGTACAGAGTGGTGAGATCGCCCGGATTCGTGTAAATAATTCCCTGGTTTCGCACCCCTTTTATACTTGTACCCAATTGCCACCCTATCCCTGTGTAACGGTACCCGAATAGAACCCAAAAATATTACAATAACATTAAGCATGGCCTGGCCATGAGGATTTACATACAGTAGAGATCTGAAATTGACTACGGATGGAATAAATATGCTTACCTGCATGTTGGGTGATGAAACCTTCTTCCTCTCAGAAAACATTTGTTTGGAGATTCTGTGCATTCACAGGCGCATTTTGTGGGGTTTAGAGGTTGATTTTTTGGACAGACCTTTGTACAAGCACACTGGCATGTATCCTTATCGAAAACCTTGTTAGGTCCACATGCAGTTGGAAGCAGTTTACAAACGCACTGACAGGAATGTCCGTCCAGTTCTCTGTTAGGCCCACAGCTGGATGACCTCTGGCGTCCCTTACACACACACTGACACGTTTCCTCATCGAGTTCTTTGTTTGGTCCGCAGATATCATCAAATCCACCGAATGAACCTGTAATACAGGTAAAAGAGAAAAGAATCTTTTTATTCTTCGTGTTTTTATTTTGTGCCCATGTCTCAAGCCCTGCACCAAAACACAAGTGCGTACACTGTTCTTTCATTGTATTGCCATATTTCTGAAGTGGCATTCAAGAGTTAAATGTACACGCTCTTTCAATTAACTTTATTCAAGGTAAAAGAGCCAAACAACATTCTTTTTTTTTTCTTATGTGGATCATTTTTTTAAGTATCTATAGGTGCAAAGAAAAGTTTATGTTAAAAAAGTCTTATGAAAACTTTGCAGTTATTCAAATACATGTGATAATTTTGGTGACAAGAGACTGGAATTAAATATACATGTACTGTGCATGTAGTATATGCTACACTCACAACACGTGCTCTCTGTGCTTTCATAAAACAGCAAATTGCTATATCCTGCTACTGTATGTCAATAGAAATGAGCAACACCAAGTTTGACTGACTCACTCCGTATGAATGCAGGTTATTTCACAATATTCTGGGATTTTCTGTCTTCTTCAGTTACATTGACTGCTAAGATGAAGCAATGCTGTTTTGATAGGTTATGACCTTCAGTATAACTTTTGCAGGTATGGACAAGCAGGGCACACAAATGTGTATCTGCAGGCTACTGAGTCTGTTGTATGAGCCAATAGTGGGGGGGTCCATACATGCTACAGAGTATAATTAGGAAACCTGCTGAGAAAATCCTCTTCTGCACTACAGTTCTGCCTCCTTAAAAAACACAGCTTTGACTAGAATTGGATACTTAGACCACCACCTAACGCTCAGAGGAAAACGTGGGTGACCAAGAGAGAACCTAGTAGCTCATTATCTCACTGAAAACAAAAAACATATTCATTTCTATTTGGATGTTCACATTCACCACTGGTTAAGGATTGACTAATTATCTGATATATTAGAAGGCTTAATTTAGTTACAATATATGGTATTTCACTGTATAATGCTATTACATACCCAACTGAACAGTCCAAAACTTACTGTAATTGTTCAAATATTTTGCAACTATTTTCATAAGAAAATTCCACTTTTCATTCTTTGCAGTGTTTGTTTTCCATCGTGGCCCTGACAGCTGTTCTTTTTTTCCAATTTTCTTTCCTGGCAGAATGGTTAAATCTGTTACTGCTGTGTATGTGGCTGTAAACCAGTGCAGGAATTTGGCTTAAGTAGATCTTGGATTCCAATCATAACGATGTTTCATTTCTTTACTTCCTTTGGATGCTTCCTGAAGCAAACCAATGTCCCTTTTTTCCTGAGTGTTTTTAAAACTGTAAATGCATGTGGTGTGAAGAAAATTTAGATACAAAGCAAAGCACTTCTAGAAAAACATGGTCCTACTAGTTTACTACTACTATATCTCAATAAATGGCACATAATTCAATTATAAAACATACACAGTATATGTTTTGTAACATAAAGGTACAGCAGTTCATGTGGTAGCAATATAACATGCAGATCTCATTTACATGTGGAAATAATGACAAACATGGAAAATCCATCGCCATGGGGACAGGAGGTCAAGGTGTCCTACTGGTTTCTGGGTTGCTCTGCAATACAGTCCTATTGAAGGCCTAAGTAGTCAAAACACTTCCATTACTTTTAGCAGGTTTCAGCTCAACATCACTTGAAGTGTAATTTAGTGCTTTTTTTTATATCCTATATTTCCTATATTGAAAAAACAATATTTAGCTCTACTGGTTGTCATAGTCTGCACTGTAATTACCCATGATTCCCTTTGTAATGTTTTTTACCTTTCTTGTTTTCTCTTCTAGTTTTGTACTCATTTGTTAGGCAAGAAGTTTCCCTTTCCCTCCTTGATTGCATTACTATTTTCAGCAGTTTTTTTCCACACAGTTGGGGCATATTTCAACAGTCTATTTATATTATTTTCTGACATACGTTATCTAGAAAATGTATTTCCAACTGAAAATGTACGAAAACAATCATTATTTATACACCGAAAGCGTTTAAGAAGATCTAAAAATAATGCATGTAATGTGATCTGCCAGCACATAAAACTGAGAATTACTTCGTAAAAGAGCGAGATTACTTTTGCTGATTTAACAGGTGGACTTTCCTCCTGAAAACAATATCTCTTTTGAAAGCAACCCACATGAACTAAATGGAAGTTAAGCAACCAGTACAGTATGTTACCTATTTATATTTTTACTCAACAATAAACCTTCTAATCTTTCGAGCACGTACAGATTATTTTTCTTAACACAGCAAAGTAACCTTACTGTAATATGCAAATGAAAAGACTTTAGAACTTACTTGAAGAACAAGTATATTTTGAGGAGAAACTTAAAGACACTTACGAGGTCCTGAGTATTGCGAAGGAAAACTGAAGTCATGTTGTATCACGCATCTGCATATGTTATTGTTCCAAATGTGATTCTTTGGACACGTTTTGTTTGTAGCGTGACATCTGTGAGGGAAAAGATAAAATAGTTTAGAGCTTAATCGTAAATCAGGTGAGGGAGAAAGGTCACCTTTGCTTTCCTTTCGTGACGTTTTTATAAATGAATTTTAAAATCAGAGCCATCTTCACAGACCAAGCCACTGCTACAGCTTTGGAAGAAAATCTCCTTGGCATGACATTGCAAGACGTTATACTTCCATAGTTTTGGGGGGTGTCATTTCATTAGAGCCTGCTCCTTCCAGGCCTTTTAGAAGGGTGCCCCAATTGCCTCATACAATCATAGAGGTAAGTGAAAATGGGACCCCAAGTTTAGAAGTTTGATTCTCCACCCACTCAGGCAATTTTGATACCCAGTAGAATCCCCCTCCCCGACTTGGAATCCCTTCAAACCCTGGGTTCGAATCCCAGGTGAGACGCTACTTTTGTCCTTCCAAGTGAGGCTTTGTCTAAAGGTGTCAGTGAAATAAATATTTAATATAAATAATGTAACTGAGGGTAATGTCCATACACCCCAGGAAATGTTTCAGTAGAGGGGTTGGTTTTAGCACAGCTGTTTTATAAAATGACGCCCCTGACATAAACTATCTGCTGACCCCTATCCTTCATAACGGCAGCAGCAAAGAATAATTAAGTCATCAGTATCTCTAATGCTTTATAACAAAAATTGCATTTAAGCTCAATACATATTTTATTATTTTAAAATCTACACATTTTATGGTTTATCTTGGGTTTAAAATCAAAGCATTTGCTAGTATTTTCCAACATATCCCAAAACAATATAAATGTGGCTCTTACATATTTGTACACTTATTTAAGTGTGATGGATCAGACTAGCTAGTCAATTATTTTGCCAAAAGTCCTCCAAATCAATAAACCCATCAATTCACTTGTTTCTCACAATTCACTTAAATATAGCCCATCAGAGAGAGCAATTTCCGATACTTTTATCTTAAAGCCCTTTGGTGGGGTCATTAAATCAAACAGTAAAATAGGCAGGCAAAAGACAGAGCTGTGTACAGAAAGTGAAGCAGGAATTGAATTTCACGTCCACAGTTACACAGTGTTAGTATCTATTTTGCATGAATTCTACAAAAGACCTACTGTACGTGGCTCTTATACTGTACATAGAAGCATACATAGTACTACTACTGTACAGTATATGTTCTTTAGATCTTCAAAACCACTTCAAAATGAGATGCACTACCAGAATGACTACCCTCCCTTCTTAAAAGTGTGTATGTTAGCAAAGCTTATTCTCATTATATAAACTTAAATATATAGCTTAATTGGCCTTTGCTCATACTGTATGTGACCTCTATTTTCCACTACACAAAATGGAGCTGTTAAACAGAAGTTCAGGAGGAGATCAAATTGTAATCTTGTACTCCTGCTCTTACATATGAATACTCTCACGCTGTGCACCCCCTTTGTGCAAATCTTATCTAGCATCCCATCCTCTACCCCATCTTCACCCCTGTAGCAGCCTTGCTAGCTCATTCCTCACAAGTGAGGGGAGGTTTGGTAGTCATGTCCTTGTATCCTAGATTGTTAATTTCTTAAGCCAGGGGAGTTAACGCCAAGAATTCAAATATTAAGTTCACTATCCCTTTTTTCTCAATGTCTCGTCTTGTTGTAATGAGTATTTCACTGATGTACTGAATTATAACTAAAAAAATCTCAAAATCTCAGGGCAGAGATTCTCCTCAATTTCGCTTGATTTGGCATAGAATGACCCTGCCATATCGGGTTAAAAAACACCTACAGTATAACAATAAACTAATTCCAAAAGCAAATGCAACATTTGTTCTTACTGAACAGGCTGGTTTTTGTCCAGTGTGTTTGGGTAAAGTTTTGTCAATATCTGGGATTTGAGATTGATTGTGGATCCCAGAAAAGGTTGTGAGGCCTGTCCCCTAGAAACGTGATTCCCCAATAAACAGGATGTTGACCTCAAATTCACTATGAAAAAGGTTACAAGTTTATATCCTAGAGAACCCTAGATGTTCTTCTTTGTTAGGAAAACGGTAACAACGATCTTTGGAGACACTTGGACAATTAACAAGTTATAAAAGGAAACATGAACAGTGACACACAAACCAGAAAACTATGGAGAAGTTTATTTAAAACTGAGTACAAATTATATTCACATCTTTACACAAATGATTGTAGGAATCCAGAAGAATCTGCCCAGTGATGTTGTTGAATCTGGCTTCTTTCATATTCTCTATATAAAATTGCTACTGAAAAACCTGCTAAACTAGATTATCTGAAAGGCCCATCTTATTTGTAAACCTTCTTATGTTCTCTAAAAATAAGATATATTTCAAATAAACATTTCAATAACTAATGTATGTGCATGGGAGTATACAATTAATCGTGGGACTATGTTTTTTGTGAAACATGATCTATGTGTCCTCATACAAAGCCAAAAAAAATCCTTTTTAAGTAGAGAATACTTGATTCAGACGATGGATGAGCAAGTTTTAACACCATTTCAGACTGTAGAACACTTACACAAGATAAAATGTTTACATATTTTAAGCATGCTCTAAGTTGTCTGAACATAAGCTAATGTGCTAAGAATTGTTTATACAGTATATCCTGCGTCGTATTACCTGGGATTAAAAACTAGTTATATTCAGTTAGATCTAGTCATGTGATAGCATGGCCTATGTTGACCGTGAACATCTACGGTAAAGCCTTTGACTTTTTGGAGATAACAAATGAATTCACAGTGATGACATTATATACTTTGTGTAGGATACAAAGACTTTCCTTTTCTGGCTGAAGAAAATACAATTAAAGACAAAGCTGTTATTATCAGATAATTACCTACTGCAAAAAAATAATTCCTTTTCTATTTGTATCCTCACTAAACCTTACTAAATATCTTACAGTAAATATAAACAGAAACCATGCCAGAATTGCACATTTTAAAATTTAACAAAACTTTTCTTTTAAAGGGTTCTGAGATTTGCTGGAACAAAAACTTTCCATTGTATACAATTATGTGATTTCACAGAGAAAAAATCTTTATCTTTTTCCATACTCCAAGCTTCAATCTATGCTTCTGTTGCTGCTCTATTAAACAAAAATGACACCACCAAGTAAATGTAGTGCTTTCACAACACACAAAATCTGACCGGAGGGTACGAAACTATGATGTTACAGTATATCAATATTCAAATTAACTGTAGCAATGTATCCTCAGACCAAAACTTGCATGTACATGACCAAATCAGAAGAGAATGCTACTGTGTATTAGAACAAAACTAAAATATAATTCCATCTGTTGTACAGAAGGAAAGAAAAAATAGTTAAAGTTTCCTTTATCATCAGTTCTTTTTTACAGATTTGCAGCACACTTATAGAAACTGATTGATTAGTACTACTGAAGTCAAAGATTCTCATCACATTTCTGACAGCATAATTGTATGAGCTGGTAGGTAAAGTATCAAATCATTGTTTTTTCCAACCCTGGAAGTAAAAGAAATATAGACAATAGACACTGACATTCAGGAACAGACCTCTTAAAAAAACGATAAATATATCAAAATGATATAAAATGAAAACACCACTATTTGCAGAAAATGTGCAAATAAAATAATTGAGGACATTATCTTCAGTGTAGTGTATTTTTCTGAAACATCTTGAAAGTCAAAAGCAGCATTTATTCAAATTTTCCATTTTATAACAGGGCTGTGTGCTGACCACTTTACAGAAGTGTCGTCACCCAGCTCTCAATTCTTTTCCATAGCAGCACACCTGGTCTTTTGGCATGGTGGTGTTATCCACTGCTTAGGCAGTGGCACTTGTTCATGCAAGGAGCCCATGAGGGCCCGGGTTCAAATATGGAAGGGGCGAGGGGAACTTCACTCACCACACCTGCAAGGAACTGCTTCGGCAGCTGCTTTTAGAGTCCAAAACCCCAGTCCTGACGCATGGCAGCTTCGGTGTAGTTTTGATATTTCTGAATGTGACATTGGCCACAAGAATTTGTGAAAAGAAAACAAGTCGACTGAGGAAACTCTACAAATACTGTAGAGGGGGAAGTGACAACTACCACATCTAACTGTTTCGCTTGGGTAGAGTTTCAGCTTTGTATCACAAAATCCAATTATTACACATCACATAAAAATACCAAATAACAATCCAGTGCTTAGTTTTATTAAACTATCTGGGCAATCAACACATTGTGTATGAAACCCAGTTGTTCACAGTAGGCAATATGTCTAAAAATCATAAATTGACAGCTATTTCAGAATATATGAACATCAAATAAGGAGAAGTAAGTTTGTGATTAACTTTCTCTGCCTTAAGTTATTCTGATGCATTACTATTCCATGAACAGCTTTTTTGCCAATTAAATTCAACATAGCTCCAGATGTGCTCTGGCTCAGGCTCGACCTGTGATATCCCCTCTTTCAGGTTTAAACCAAATTCAGCAAAGGCATTTCCGTCAAATTCAAAAACTCCCTCAAATTTCTCACATTCAAGAGCAAATGTATTTATGATGATTGACTGCAGGCGTAAACAAATGACACCGACTGAATTCCAATGTCACCTTCTATCAGTGCAAAAGCTTTTGTGTTGTGGAGTTTATTATCTGTTTTTATATTTTCCCTCCATAAGAAAAGTGTGTTTGAATTGAACCTGTAGTTACCCTGAACGGTAAATTAATATTTGTAGGACTGTAGCCACAGGCAAGTAGCATATATAGCAGTGCTTTCAACAAAAAGGAAGTACTTTTTATCTTCTCCAAGAGGCGCAAGGAGATCACAAGTCTATCCATATTGGGACTGGTTTGTAAAAAACAGCATCAAAAAGGAGATGGAAGGAGATGCCTCACAATTCAAAAGTTTAATGTACAGTAAGTGAAACCAATTTACTAGCGAGGAAGAGTGGATTCTCTTGTGTTACACACTGAGACCTGTTACATACTGTACAACAAAGAAATAAAAGCCCTTTTAGGTTTTCAAGAGCTGAACACCAAACGATTTAAAAAA